GCTTGAGCCTGAGCCTATTAATATGTATAAGAGTTAGGAATAAAAGAGGGGTTCTCAAAGCTACGCCTCTCAATAAACTTGCAAGTAAACCAAAGGTAATATTGCCTGATGAATTTTATTAAAATTATACTTCCAACTTCACCCAGGGTCACAATTCTGAAAAAAGTGTCTAGGTTTTTTACAAAGTATAATTACGTTTCAAATATAATGCCATGATATTAAAAGCTATTTAAAATATAAATAGGGTGCCCTTCCTTATTCACTAATCTTTTAATTGTGTATTTTATGGAGGAATTGCATATTTGATACACATCTAGTCAAGAAATAAAATAGGAAAAAGCTGAGCTTGCCTGAAAGAATAATTCATACTTCAGATGTACAAAAATCATCACAATATTTCAGTTAGTGTCTCAATGTTACTCTAATGACCTAAAAGTAAATTTTCCTAAGAACTGTTTATATGACAGGCTACATACACACAAAACTTTTGCTTATAGCTGAAAGTCAGAATGACATTAAATAAATACTGTCTTCATTCAGCAAAACTACCTTTATTTCCATCTGTTAGCTCCAAAAATACATCATGCATTCTCCAGTACTTGCAATATGTTTTCTGCTGAACAATGAACACCCCAGTAACACTTATTGCTTCAGTTGAATGGTTTCAGCTCCCAGGGAGGCAGGAGGCTCTCAAGAGAGGAAACACCCCAAGATTCCTAACCGAGAAAATGAAAGGAGTACTGTGTACCTTGGGAAGATTGACTTCTGAGTTCCAGAATTTTAAAAACAAATTTCTATTTCTAATTATGATATAAAACAAGCTTCATAAAAAGATATTACAGAAAGAAAGAGAAAAGAAAATGGAAACATAGTCTTACCATTTTTGGATCACCATTTTTCTTATACCTACCATTACATTTTTTAAATTAAAAGTATTCTGACTTTGTTATATTATATTATGATAATTTTATATTGCTAAATATCTATCTAATGTGTTCTTTTTAAGATTATATAATCTGTCATATTTCATTACAGCATAATTCATTAATTGATTTTCTTATTATTGGATATTTTTTCCTCTGGTCTAAAAAAAATTTTTTTTTTTGAGATGGAGTCTCACTCTGTCACCCAGACTGCACTGTAGTGGTGCCATCTCTGCTCACTGAAGCCTCCACCTCCCAGGTTCAAGCCATTCTTCTGCCCTAGCCTCCCAAGTACCTGGTATTAGAGATGTGCACTACCACACCCAGCAATTTTTGTATTCTTAGTAGAGATAGTTTTCACCATGTTGGTCAGATTGGTCTTGAACTCCCAGCCTCAAATGATCCACCCACCTGGGCCTCCCAAAGTGCTGGGATTATAGGCGTAAGCCACTGCACCCCAGCCTCAAAGTGAATATTCTTATTCTTTATTATATACCTCTGTGATTATTTAGTGTTTACTTAAAAACTAAATCACTGGATTAAAGTGTATTAACATTTTTATGACTGTAAATTCATATTGTTAATATAACTTCCAGAAATTTATGTTTACGACTGTTTGACTTTATAAAGTTAAATAAATCACCAGCATTTGTATTTTATTGCCTTCTTTCAACTCACATGGCAGTGTCTTAAACCTAGCTCTATGAAATTAATTGTGTATTTGGTAAATCAAAATTTACCAAATATATAAGTTCTATCTAATTGTTTGCAATCTTGTACTTAAACAGATACCCTTTTAGCACCTAGAATGCATGTTTCTGATAAATCCATTTCTGTTACGAAAGCTCCTGAATTAGAGTGAGACTCCATCTCAAAAAAAAAAAATTCCCAAATTAACACATGTGGCCTCTCGTGTCACAATTTAGCTTTATGCTAAAATGTTATTGTGTCCGTCCCTTTATATTATGCTCCTCTCTAAGCTACATAATCTGCTTAAGAAAATAAGCCCCTTGCCTTGAATACCATGGCAGTGTCTTAAATCTATCTCTATGAAATTAATGGTAACTATTTGGAAACCCATGAAGTAATCAACAGACACATCAAGAAATTCTCAAGAAGAGAAGGAACTTAACTTAAGTCCTAAAACAATCCTGTGAAGTAGATAAGGCATCTACTTTGTCTTTTGAAGAAAAAAATGAAGGCTGGGAGATGAGGTCATTTGCCCAGTGTCACAGTGGCTACTACCATATCAGTTAGCTGGAATTCACACCCAGACAGGGTTACTAAATTTGGCAACTAAAAACACAGTGTACGTATATATCAAATATTGCGTGAGACAAACTTATTTTTAAAAAATGGTTTTTATCTGAAATTCAAATTTAACTGGGAATTCTGTTTTTTATCTGACACCTCTATGTCTAGGCCTGTCTGACTTCAGGGCACCACACTACTTTTGCCATCTGGAAGGAAAAACATGGAAAATTAGTCAAGTCGCCTATTTCAAGAAATTGCCTCTAACAGTGATAGCAAAGAATACTTGTATAGAAAAACGTTTTTCACCGACTGCAATTCAATTTCCTCATCTTTACTTTTGAATGCACCTTAAACCCCTTAACACTTTACCTGCATATAAATGCAAAATCTGATAATGCCCATTATTATCCTCGAGGCTCCATGCGGTGGCTCATGCCTGTAGTCCCAGCATTTTGGGAGGCGGAAGCCAGCGGATCACATAAGGTCAGGAGTTCAAGACCAGCCTGGTCAACATGGTGAAATCCCATCTCTACTAAAAATGCAAAAATTAGGCAGGCGTGGTGGCACACGTCTGTAATCCCAGCTACTCAGGAGGCAGAGGCAGGAGAATTGCTTGAACCCAGGAGGCAAAGGTTGCAGCGAGCCAAGATTGTGCTACTGCAGCACTCCAGCCTGGACAAGGCATTGAGACTCCGCCTCAAAAAAAAAAGTATACACACACACACACACACACACATGTATACATATATATTACATATAATTTTCCCTCATATCTAATAAATGTTTTTTAATCACCCAATTTACATCTAGCATTCATGAAAGTACTCAGACTTCTGTGGATCTCCTTAATATTTTCAACTTGATTTTGATTCTTGGTAGTTAAGGCCTTTAGAAAATCACTGCCTGTTGTTGAATGTGAAAGACCTTTTGTTCTTAGATTCAGTGTTCACTTTACTTGAGCCTCTCCAATGCCACCTGTTATTACGCGCTTTGGGGGAGTTTTCTGAGATACCACACTGGACTTAAATATATGGGTTTTGGAGTCCCAGGCCTGAGTTTGAATCTCAGCTTCGCTGTTCACTAGCTCTGGGATTTGGAGCACGATAATGAACTGTTGGGACTCAGTGGCAGTTTTCATGTAATGAGCATAATAATATCTAGTAGGTTTGTTGTGAGGATTAAAATGAGACATAATAATATGAAGCATTTATTCTGGTTCCTAAAACATTGTAAATACTTTAGAAGTGGCTATTGTAATTTTAAAAAGACAATTATCAAAGTTAAACTTTGTTTTACAATAATTGCATTGTCTTTATTAAATTATATGGTTTCTTTTTAAAGTTGAAGATATATTTTCTGGTTAGAAAATATACCAGCATTGGCTGGACGCGGTGGCTCATGCCTGTAATATCAGCACTTTGGGAGGCTGAGGCAGGCAGACCATGAGGTCAGGAGTTCAAGACCAGCCTGGCCAACATGGTGTAACCCCATCCCTACTAAAAATACAAAAATTAGCCAAGCGTGATGGCGCACACCTGTAATCCCAACTACTCAGGAGGCTGAGGCAGGAGATTTGCTTGAACCTGGGAGGTGGAGGTTGCAGTGAGCTGAGATCTCACCACTGCACTCCAGCCTGGGTAACAGAGCAAGACTCTGACTCAAAAAAAAAAAAGAAAAGAAAATATACCAGCATTAATTAGAGCATTCTGCTTGCAGTCCTACCTACCTCATACACAGATGATGTAATTACAATAAACATATCTAAAAAGAAATCAGAATAGCAAGATCCAGAATTCATGCCATAGGTAGCCATGAATGGTCATTTTTCTCATGGTTTGCTTGTTATTTGAAACTTTCTTAAATGACTTTAATGAATTAAATAAAACAGGGCAATGATTCTGGTAAACCTTTCTTCCTCCAGCCAACTGAGTATTCTGGATTCCTGGGATCATGTGTATTAGTTGAGAAAATTACTTAGCTTTTTAGAAGCTTAATTTCCTTATTTGTAAAATGGAAATAATAACACCTACTTCGTTAGGTTTGTATGAGACTTAAATGGATTTAGCATTTCACACACTGTCAGAATACAAAAAGGACACTTCATAATTGTGTTCTCTTTCCCTTTTCCTTCCTTCCAAACTGTGGAGCACCTAAACTGGAGCTTTGCAGCATACTGCTGAGATCTTAGCTGTACCCAATATGCTGCAATGGGAGTTTTCATAAGCAAATACGTGTGGCTGTTAAGTAACTAACTTAGGCCAGGTGTGGTGGCTCATACCTGTAATTACCTTGGGAAGCAGAAGTGCACAGATCACTCGAGGTCAGGAGTTCGAGACCAGCCTGGTCACTATGGTGAAACCCCATCTCTACTAAAATATAAATATGAACCAGGCATGATTGTACGTGCCCATAATCCCAGCTACTTGGAAGGCTGAGGCAGGAGAAGGGCTTAAACCCAGGGGCAGAGTTGCAGTAAGCTAAGATTGTGCCACTGCCAGCCTGGGTCACAGAGTGAGACTCTGTCCCCCCCCAAAAAAAAGGTGTCTTTTTTATTTTTTATACCTTGTTTCTAAGTAATTTATTATATAATTCTAGCAAAATATAACCAGGTGAAATAATTTTAATTTTCATTCAGTAATTTCATTTTTTAAATGAAAATCTACGTTTTCATGTGTGTAGACTGTTTAACAATGCAAAATAATAATCCTTCATAAAGGCAAAAAATTTGCTCAGATGTTTGTGCATTCATTTCACATGTAATTCTTAGTATCTACAGTGTGCTGGGCACTCTTCTACGAGGCACAAACACAAGTTCCTTCCTCAGAGATTGCACAGAGTCACATGTAATTCTTAGTATCTACAGTGTGCTGGGCACTCTTCTATGGGGCACAAACAAAAGTTCCTTCCTCAGAGGAAGGAGACAGGCTAAAAGAAAAAAAGAGAGAGAGAGAGATGATAAAAACAGTGTGATAAAGAGCTGAGAGGTTACATACAAGAAGCCCAAAAATTTGGGGAGGAAAGGAACTGAACTGGAAAGCTTTGGCAAGATTGTCTTTTTGCTGAACTTGAAGGTAAGTAGGAATTTCATGTGCATATATAAAGCTTACATACCACAATATTTTTCTGATATCTCTAAGTTTAAAAGGGTAAGAGTACTGTGTTGGGTTGAGTTGTATTGCATTGCGTTTTCCCCTCCAAAGCACAATTAGCTTGCCCCTGTCTTCCTATCACTGGATTTCTTTTCCTGGTACCTGCAGTAACCTTGACTGATGGAAAGAACACAGCTGCATTGGATTATCTATTTAGTGGGCTACTTTTAATCTTGTTCCTTGTCTCGCTTTGTCAGCTCCCTCTAAATCTTTACAATCCTATTTCAACTACCTCTAACTATAGAAGCTCATTTGCATGACACTGATTCTCTGTATTTTTATTTCAAAAAATTATATGATTTGAGGGATTCTGGCTCTTGATCCTAAGTTATTAAGTATTTGATAGGCTTCCTACACACCATGACCTTCAGCCAGAGTGGTCAACGATGTCTTCTTCATGTTTATAACCATAATAATTAAATGTTTTATAATTCATAGTTTAATATCCATGTTCCATGCAGGAATTGTAAACGTCATGAGATCAGGAACTGTGTCTATGTTGTCCATTACCGTATCTCTAGCATGCAGTTTGATACCATGCATAGTCATTCATTCAACAAATATGTGACTATTAAGTGGCAGGCTTTCTTCTAAGCATTGCAGAGTTAATAGGTAATAAACTAAGTTTCTGCCCTTGTGGAGCATACACTCTAATAAGGTTGAAAAGACAGTAAATAAAGTAATAAATATATAAGCAGTCAGATATTGATTACTGATATGATAAAGAAGAAAACAAGGTAAAGAAATAGAAAATGATATTGGTTGCCAAGGACTATCTTAGATGGGGTTTTCAGGGAAGGCCTTGTTTAGCAGAAACCTGAACATATAGACAGAGGTAGCCATGCCCACTTCTAGGGGAAGAGTTTGCCCAGCAACAAAACAACACGTGCAAAGACAGGACTGTGTTGGAGTGTTTAACAAACAGCAGAGACACTACTGTGGTTAAGGCAGAGGAAGCAAGGAGAAGAGGGATTTAAGGAGTCAAGCTCTTAGAAGATAGATCAGGTAGAGAATAGTCAGGAGGCAACTGTAGTAATTCATTCAGTAAGAGGTGACCATGGTTCAGACCAGGTTGGTACAAGCAGAAGTGTTGAACAGGTCAGATTCTGGAAATATTTGTAAGACAGAGGCAGTCGGATTTTGTGAATGATTGCTTGCGGGGTGTGTGTGAAAGAGGGAAGTCAAGGATGACCGTAGATTTTCTGACTTAAAGCTACGAAAAAAGAGGCTGCAATTTGATGAGACAGGAAGGACACAAAGAAAAGCAGGCTTGGAGTAGAGGAGAATTAGGAGTTCTGTTTGAAAAATAAGGCATTGTATGCTTTTTTTCCTCACACAAAAAAGAAAGAAGAGGGAAATAATGCAGCGTACATGTCAGTGCCTCAGTAATATTCATTGGAATGAATGAATGAAACACTTCTGTATTTTTTTTTGTTCTTAGGATTCCAAACAAGAGGAAATGGAGGCTGTACAGCTCTCAGAGTAGCAACATTAATAATGAGATAAACTCCACATTAAATAGGTTGAAGAAAAAAATAACAATAATGAAATAAACAGAACTGCCTTCCACAGCCCTTTGAGTGCAAAGGTTCTCATACAGAATTCATTGGCAGACTCTGGGGGTCCAGGACTCAATGATACTATACTTAGTGTCATATTGTAACTTAGTATATCATAATTTAGTAAATATATACAAATGTGTTCTTTTCTGAGAAAATTCATCAAATTCCCTCTTCAAAATAGCTAATGTGAGTCAATATATTCATTCATTCAATGTACATTTAGTACGTATTAGCTCTTCCTCTTTTAGAAACCTCAATTTGAGTCCACAGTACAGTCATCCTTCAGTATACTTGGGGATTGATTAGGTTGAAAAAGTCCACGTATAAGTGGACCCACACAGTCCAAGCCCAAGTTGTTCAAGAGTCAACTGTAAATAGAATGTACAAGATTAAGAAAATGGTATTGTTCTTAGTTAAAAAAAAAAAAAAGGATATTACATGCTAGACACTGGACAAGGGAGTATGCATTAGATCCCCTACTGTGAAAGCAATTTGCGTAGTCAAGAGGATCACCTTGGGATGTTAGATAAACTTTGGTTAAAATAATCTCAAATCTCAAATTTGCTGCTTGCTTAGCTGTGTTACCTAGGTCAAGTTGCATCACTTTGTGATTTTGTAATTAAATGTTCAATCTAATGTGTAAACTGTCTGCCAAAAACGAGGTGCTCCATCTATGGCTAGATTTCTGCTGATGAGCAAACTACTTTGATTATAATTTAGCTTCTCAGGTAGATTTGTTTACAGGGAAACTTACTAGTTACAGAACATGGGCATCCAATCTGTAAAACGAGACCCTTTAAAGTTAAGTTTATATGAAATCAGTCCCCAGAATCCCTTCATCACTGAACAAGTAAATAAAATAAAATTTTGATTCCACACAATTCTACCTCTGGGAGTTGTACACTTACCAGGGTACCATCATTCTAAGGCAACTGAAATTTAAAGGCCCCTCCATAAAATATTAGGCATTATAAAATAAGTAAATTATTCATTATTGTGTCTGAATTTAACTGACCTTGAAAACTGATAAAATTTTGGCCGCTTTTAAAGATCTAGAAAAAGTTAAATAATCAAAATTTAGCACCTGACTGTTTTTTTATTTTCCATAGGTTATTGGGGGAGCAGGTGGTGTTTGGTTACATAAGTTTTTTAGTGGTGCTTTGTGAGATTTTGGTACACCCATCACCCGAGCAGTATGCACGGCACCCTATTTGTAGTCTTTTCTCCCTCACCCCTCCCACGCTTTCCCCCGAGTCCCCAAGTCCACTGTGTCATTCTTAAGCCTTTGCATCCTCAGAGCTTAGTTCCCACTTATAAGTGAGAATAGATGATGTTTTGTTTTCCATTCCTAGGTTACTTCACTTAGAATAATAATCTCCAATCTCATCCAGGTCACTGAAAATGTCATTAATTCATTCCTTTTTATAGTTCAGTAGTATCCCATCATTTTTATATATATATATATATATAATAATTTTCTTATCCACTCATTGATTAATGGGCATTTGGGCTGATTCCATGTTTTTACAATTGCAAATTTTGCTACTAAAAGCATGCATGTGCAAGTATCCTTTTTGTATAATGACTTCTTTTCTAGGCCAAGCACGATGGCTCACGTCTGTTATCCCAGCACTTTGGGAGGCTGAGGCAGGTAGATCACCTGAGGTCAGGAGTTCAAGATCAGCCTGGCCAACATGGTGAAACCCCCATCTCTTAAATATATATATATAATTTTTAATAAAAATGACTTCTTTTCCTCTGAGTAGGTACCCAGCACTGGGATTGCTGGATCAAATGGCAGTTCTACTATTTCTTTACGGAATCTTCACACTGTTTTCCATAGTGATGTACTAATTTACATTCCCACCAGCAGTGTAGAAGTGTTCCCTGTTCACTGCATCCATAGCAAACATCTATTATTTTCTGATATTTTGATTATGGTGATTCTTGCAGGAGTAAGGTGGTATTGCATTGTGGCTTTGATTTGCATTTCCCTGATTATTCGCGATGTCAGGCATTTTTTCACGTTTGTCAGCCATTTGTGTATCTTCTTTTGTGAATTGTCTATTCATGTCCGTAGCCCACTTTTTGATGGAATTGTTTGTTTATTTTCTTGCTGATTTGTTTGACTTCATTGTAGATTCTGGATATTAGTCCTTTGTCAGATGTATAGACTGTGAAGATTTCGTCCCACTCTGTGTGTTGTCTGTTTACTCTGCTGGCTGTTCCTTTTGCCAGGCAAAAGCTCTCTAGTTTAATGGAGTCCCAACTATTTATCTTTGTTTTTATTGCACTTGCTTTGGGTTCTTGGTCATGAAATCCTTGCCTAAGCCAATGTCTAGAAGGGTTTTTCCAGTGTTATCTTCTAGAATTTTTATATTTTTACATCTTAGTTTTAAGTCCTTAATCCATGTTGAGTGATTTTTCTATAAGGTGAGAGATGAGGATCCAGTTTTATTCTCCGACCTGTGGCTAGCCAATTATGCCAGCATCATTTGTTGAAAAGGGTGTCCTTTCCCCACTTTATGTTTTTGTTTGCTTTGTTGAAGATCAGTTGGATGTAAGTATTTAGGCTTATTTCTGCATTATCTATTCTGTTCCATTGGTCTATATGCCTATTTTTATACCAGTACCATGCTGTTTTGGTGACTATGGCTTTATGATATAGTTTGAAATCAGGTAATGCAATACCTTGAGATTTGTTATTTTTGCTTAGTCTTGCTTTGGCTATGTGGGCTCCTTTTTAGTTCCATATTAATTTTAGAATTGTTTTTTCTAGTTCTATGAAGAATGATGGTATTTTAATGGGAGTTGAGTTGAATTTGTAGCTTGCTTTTGGCAGTATAGTAATTTTCACAATATTAATTCTACCAGTTCAAGAGTATGGGATGTGTTTCCATTTGTTTGTGTTGCCTGTGATTTATTTCAGCAGTGTTTTGTAGTTTTCCTTGTAGAGTTCTTTCACCTCCTTGGTTAGGGATACACTGATTTGTGTACCTTAATTTTGTATTTGGAAACTTTGCTGAATTCTTTTTTTGAGATGGAGTTTCGCTCTTGTTACCCAGGCTGGAGTGCAATGGCACGATCTCGGCTCACCGCAACCTCCGCCTCCTGGGTTCAGGCAATTCTCCTGCCTCAGCTTCCTGAGTAGCTGGGATTACAGGCACGCGCCACCATGCCCAGCAAATTTTTTGTATCTTTAGTAGAGACGGGGTTTCACCATTTTGACCAGGTTGGTCTCGATCTGTTGACCTCGTGATCCACCCGCCTCGGCCTCCCAAAGTGCTGGGATTACAGGCTTGAGCCACCACGCCTGGCTGCTGAATTCTTATATCAGTTCTACAAGCTTTCGGGAGAAGC